TGTTTTGAATCTTTTAATTTTTTTAAAAAATGAGAAGTTGGAACACAGCAAAGGAGAATGCCAGCCACCAGGATCAACTTCAATTACTACTTAAGAAAAACACCAGGTCCCACACAGATGATCGTTGGAAAGCAAATAATGCAGATTTGTGTTCTGCTGGAGTTTGCTGAACTTCCTGGAAAAACACTAAGCTGGCTGAAAGCAGCCTTACGAGTGAAAGCAGCCTTTTCCTTCTGTGAAATGGGATGAAATGACTAGCCATTCCTACTGTGGCTACCATTTTGGGGACAGACAATGCCCACCCTGTGGCCACCATGTTGAAAATGCCCCAGTGCCTCCTCTTGGAGTCATCACTGGATTTGGTAAGATTGGCTTTCCCTATTATTTAAATCTTTTAAAGTTTTTATTTATTATTATTATTATTATTATTATTATTCTTCACTGTTTGTACACGCACACGCATCGGCAAACTTCAAACTGCACTTCAAATGAAAAAGAAAAAAAAGGAAAGAAATTAAAGAGGGGATGTTCCCTGGATCCTGTATTGAAATGCTGTTCCCAAGCGATGGCATTACCTTCTCCGTGGGCCACCCAGATGCCCAGAGTGGAACCTGCCATGCCCCGCAGCATCAGCGCTGGACTTTCCTCAATCCCCAGGTTCACAAAACGCGACTCAAACCGGCCAGAGTTGTTGGGACTCAGCAGCAACCCTGGTTGTGTGGCCCCATCTAGGGAAGAGCAGATCAGAGATTGACGGAGCATTTCCCACGTACTGTGCCAGAGATGCTCGGAGCAAGGGAGTGTCGGGCGCGGTGATCTGGCTTACCTAGATCTTTGGCTTCAGGGTTCTCGGCTCCTACCCACCCTAGCAGTGCCATCAGCTGACAGCCATTGCACACCCCGAGACTGAAAGTGTCTTTCCGCTGGTGGAATGCTTGGAACTGTGCCTGAGCTCTGGGGTTAAAGGTCACTGAAGCTGCCCAGCCTGAAATCAGAGAAGAGGGAGTCAGAACTTAAAGAGAGGTCTGCTGCATCGAACACCAAGGGGCATCACCCAAAACAGTGGCATCATCATTCTCCAGCAGGTGTCTTCCAGATGTGTGCACTTCAGTTCCCAGAATTCCTCAGGCAGCCAAGGCATTGCTGAGAATCCTTGAAGTCTACCTTTTCTTCAAGTTGTGGAAAGTTGTCCTACGGGAAGCTCACAGACAGATGGACAGAGGAAAAACCCAGCAGGGCCCATTTTCATTTGCAGTATTTATCACAGTTCTTCCCCAATAAAACCAAGCTGATGATTTCCCCATTCATGCTAGAGGGGAGGCAGGGCCCACCTTTGGCAGATCCAAGTACATCTGCATAACTGAAGCCTCCAACGAACACCAAGCCACGGAAGGAGTCTAGGGTCATCTTGCCTGAGCACAGATCTTGCATGGTGAGGTCCCAAACCTGCAGGAGAATATAGTACATAGGAGGCTTTTAAGGGAGGACCCAGACAGTGAGAAGGATTTTAGATTAAAATTTGCCTTCAGTCCCTGCAGGTTTTCACAGCTCTTGGCAAACACTGGACATGCCAATCTACAGCTCTCGAGGCCCCTCTAGCATGGATGGATCGTTTAGATCTAACTGGTGACATTTATGGGGAAGGAAAGGTAGCCCAGAAGACGTAGCCCAATGAAGGCTTCAAAGAACAAACAGGTTTTTCTCCATTACCTCCCAGTCCTTCCAGGGTTTTTGCAAGATCAGTTTTGACAAGCTTACCTGGAATCCAGCCATGAGAAACGCTGCCACCATTTCACGATCTCCGTTGCTTCCCTCCTCACGAAGGACAGCGACACGGGGAGCAGGCAAGGCTGGTGGTGGGAGGAAAGCAGAAGGACAGTTCTGCAACATATCTTCCATGTAAGTTTTTTTTTTTTTTAACTTTGAAAGATTAATGCAGAGATAGGAAATTTTCAGTCCACCAGAAGCCCCCAAGCATCTCTTTTCATGTTCCTCAGAATTCCCAGAGATCCCACTACCAAAATCCAGCAGTATCTACTAAATAATAATGCAACATTCTGCCTTTTTCCCCTATTGTTTTTTTAAAGGAAATAAGCAGTACAACAGGTGCATTAAGTCTAGACTAATGTCATTATTGCATTAACTTCTTCCATAAAAAATTAAAAAGGGAGGCAAACTTTCCAGCTATGACTTTCCTATGGTGCAGCCCAAGACGGTTGAAAATTACATTTTAAGAAGTGCAGCTTTTTTTTTGGTCTATTAATTAAGATTCTTAATTAGTGGAGCAATTACACATTATTACAATTAATTACACAGACACAACCACAACAGTGATAAACCAATATCTCCATTTCCATTTCTTGGTGTGGAACCAAAAGCTTGAGGAGATAGGCCAGAAGAGTCCCCCTTCCAAACCCTCTTCTTGATACTGGTCCATTTTATACCCATTTCCTGTAGAAGAGGAAGTTCCTCCTGGGGGTTAAAGGTCAGGGTGAAGCTGGGTTCTGTGCGCTTGGCCAAGCCCATCTCTTCTTGAGCCACACAGTCTGGATTGGCTTGCAGCCTCTCCAACTGGAAGCTTGTGGCTTCCCACCAGTTCCGCAAGGTTGAGACTTTCTCTGCCAGCACTTGTTGGCCATTTACAGTGACCCGGACCTGTAAAGAGACACAAGGCTCATAATGAGAAACACATATCACGGCAGCAGAGCAACCAAAGACCCAGCTAGGTGGCAGCACCAAGCTGATGTTGGTTGAACTCCAAAAGCTACGTAGGCTCAGACCTGGTTGCCCCTGTAAGGGAGACCCTCCTCAGAAAATTCCAGGGCTGTAGGCTAAAGTGGGAAGTTGAAAGAAGATCTCAAACCATGTATTGTTAGCAAGAAAAATACACTGATGTGTTCATAAAGTCACTAGCAACCAAGCCCAAGGGTATTTTGCTATTTCAGGGTGTCCAAAAAGGTGATGTACTTGCAACAAGAAATGCAAGAATGGGCCAACTGATGACCAAAAAAAACCAAAACAGAGAAGGAAGACTTGTATAAGAAGGTGAATTTGATCTTGCACCCAATTTGGGGGTTGGGGATCTGGACCTTCTTGGGTACTAGCCAGGAAGCCCTCCTGGTCTGCTCCATCTCTGGTGATACCCTTTGCTTCTCAAACACATAACCCCCAGTCCTTCTGCTGGATGGTCATCTCTGCATTTACCATGGCATTTGGACCCCGAGGGCCAGAATATCCAACAGGCACGCAGCGCACTCCCGCTTCCCGGTACCGCCCACAGACTTCAGCTGCTGCAGCACGGGGCACTTCCAGCACCAGCCCAAGTTCCTCAGCAAAAAGCACATCCAAAGCTAACGAAGAGAAGAAAAGTGGTAGTGTGATGAGGAGTGGAAAAGTGGGCAGAGGCCAGAGCATTTCCTCACCCTCTTTTCTCTCTCATTCTGTGCCACCTAGGAACCAACCATGGAAGACTATTCATTCTTCCTCCTCTATTCCTTTCTTCTTCTGATCAGCCCTTCAAAGTTTCTACAAGAGTTTCCAGCAGGTTGACGGGTGCTCAGAGCTTCCTCCTATCTGTCTTGACTGCTGTTCTCAAACCACATCTGTCCAACAGGTCTGCCCAACTTTCTCTCTTCCACAAACTCCCGTGGCCCATGTGGCCCACAAGCCCCCACTGCCATAACTCTCTTCCCAGTTCACTCACCGTGGACCCCTGGCGCTCCTAGCTCGATGTGGGCACCACAATTCCCAGCAATGGCCATCTCCAGCAAGCAAGTCAACAGACCCCCATCACTCACATCATGCCCAGAGGAAAGAACAGAGTCTGCAGGAGGAAAGAACACCCAAAAGTCTTGATGGGATGTTTTTGATTACAGTGGAATACAATTCAATTAAATCAATCAATCAATGTGAAACAAGAAGGGGGCAAAAACATGCTCCTGGATGTGGTTATTCCATAGTTCTGTTCCCGGGGCAGGAGTATCCACCTTCTTTGGAACTGTCTACTTTATTTTTTTAATAAAGAAGTTTCTAGACTATGAATAGGCGCTGAATCAGAGTGAGCAATACCAGAAAAAGTTACAGTGGAAGAATTCAGAGTCAAACGCAATGCCTTGCACATCTCCTCACTCTTCCCTGCAACTAACAGAGACAAAAATGAAGTATCCAAAACATGCATGTGTATGTAAATATATTCCATGTACCCAGTTTATAACAGGCTAACTTTTCCTCTGCACAGAATCAGGATGACCCAACCACGTTCAGAAAATGTTGTTATGAAGAACAACCACAGATGCACAAAAATGCGGAGATCTCTTTGTCCAGCAGGATGTTACAGAAACAGAGGGCAAGAAGGAGAGGAGAAAGATGCTGACCTCGTAACAGGTCCTGAGTAACTCGGAAGCAGGAAACAAGGGTGGCGGGGTCATCCAGGTCTGGGGAAACATCTCCCAGTTGGGAGAAGCACTGAGCCAGCGCACTGCCCCCAAGACGATGCTTGTCAGGACTCACAGCCACATGAAGCAAGGCCCCTACAAAACACCAAGATGACAAGAAGACGTCTGTGAATGGGCAAAGCATTTGTCTCCGTCTTACCTTCTCTCTACACGCATAAACCCCAAGGATGCAAGCCAAGGCCACAACAGTGAAATTACGTTTTTTTTCTTAGTTAGCTCTGCAGGTCCTCATCATGAATTCCTTGGTAGGGGCGACCAACAGGAGCCCTGCAAGCTGTGTGTGCCCCCCTCCCACATTTGCATCGCCCAGAGCTCACAAGGAGGAACAGGGTGGAAATCTTCACATCCATGTTTGGGGAAGGGGGTGTGGGAAGATTTAAGGAATTTAAAAATCCCAAAATATCAGGTCAATTTCCTCCAGTTTTGGCAGGTCTTAAAGGAGCATTTTGGCCCTTAAAAGCCCTCAAGGTCTGAAATATTCACCCCACCTATTATCATTCATAATTGTTTTTTGGATTTATATGCTGCTGTCCTTCCAGGAGCCAAAGACAGCTCAGAGACTGCCTGGACCAAAATTTTCCAAGGAACATCCAGGGCTGAGTGGGATTTGATGCACTACACATATTGTTACACTCTTGCTAGACCTCAGGCAGGACACAATAACATGGTGGTCCCAAG